CATTCCTGTATCAAACCATTTCACATACATTTTGTCCCGAGTGCTTTGTCCGGCGCCCTGCCTGCATTTTTACTGTTCTTTCTGCCTGGAAACGGAGAAACGTCCATGGCGTCCAAAAAGCGTCCCTTTAGGTCAAAAGCGGTTTTAGACCGGCTAGAGAACAGCGATAGTAAATCAGAACCACTTCCAGAATTGAGTGATAATGATTCGTGGGGGAAATTCGTCATCAGACACTGAAAACGATTTTGCGACTTTGCTCAGCGATGTGTGAACTTGGTGCTATATTTCAAATTTCAGTGTTTTTGGTTTGATTATATTATTGAATTAATTTATTATTATTATATTATTATTTTTTATGATTTATTTATTAAATTATAATTTATGATTTCGTGTTTCAAGTTTTATCATACCCGGGATGTTCACTAGACTCTTGTTCGGACAGATTTCAGTGAGTTATTCCTAAATTACAGCCTACAATAAAAAAAACTACATATTTCCATGCAAAAAAAATGGTACCGCTTTCAGCACCAAAAATCTGAAATAATAAGACCGCCAAGGAGGTTAATGTTGCCGTAGGCCTCTTGGCAGCCTCCCAGACAAGTTTTCTTCTCATCTTTTCATCAATTTTGGAGGCACGTTCGGTTCTCCTGACATCTTTTAACAATGAGATCCCTCTGATGCTTTGGAACAGGGGCATCAAACTTGCGGCCCTCCAGCTGTTGCGACACTACAAGTCCCATCATGCCTCTACCTTTGGGAGTCTTGCTTGTAACTGTCAATCTTGAAATGCCTCATGTCAGTATTGCAATGCCTCATGTTTGGCAACAGCTGGTGGGCCTCCAGTTTGACACCTGTGCTTTGGAAGCTCTCTACGGACTGTAGCTTTTGCTGTAGAATGCGACTAAGAAAATGTCAGGAAAGACTTACTAGAACAGCTGAACTTTATTTTAAATGATGGCAGGTGTGTGTACTGACACCTATTTAACATGATTTTGAATGTGATTGTTTAATTCTGAGCACAGCTACACCCCCAGTTATAAGAGGGTGTGCACACTTATGCAACCACATTATTTTAGTTTTTTAATGTTTACTTCCCCCCTTAAAAGATTTGTTTTTCAATTGAGTTGTACAGTTTATAGGTCACATTAAAGCTGGAAAAAGTTCTGAAATTATTTATCTTTATTTCATTTTTTTTGACATTTGAATAGGGGTGTGTAGACTTTTTATATCCACGGTATATACTGCTGATGAGAAAAGGTATTTAGCAGTTTATATTTACTAAAAGAAATTACATTTCCATGTTGTGTGTACTGTGGAAGAGCAGATATAGTGAATGCAGGGTCAGGGGAGACCAGATATAGTGAATGCAGGGGCCGGGGAGACCGGATATAGTGAATGCAGGGTCCGAGGAGACTGGATATAGTGAATGCGGGGTCCATGGAGACCGGATATAGTGAATGCGGGGTCCGGGGAGACCGGATATAGTGAATGCGGGGTCAGGGGAGACCGGATATAGTGAATGCGGGGGTCCGGGGAGAGCGGATATAGTGAATGCGGGGTCCGGGGAGAGCGGATATAGTGAATGCGGGGTCCGGGGAGAGCAGATATAGTGAATGCAGGGTCCAGGGAGACCAGATATAGTGAATGCAGGGTCCAGGGAGACCAGATATAGTGAATGCAGGGTCCAGGGAGACCAGATATAGTGAATGCAGGGTCCAGGGAGACCGGATTTAGTGAATGCAGGGTCCAGGGAGACCAGATATAGTGAATGCAGGGTCCAGGGAGACCGGATTTAGTGAATGCAGGGTCCGGGGAGACAGGATGCTGTGTACCTTCTGCTGTGTGCCCGGACCTACTGCCTGCTAGTCTGCCTCCTGTTGTGTGCCCTCTGCTGTGTGCCCAGACCTACTGCCTGCACTGTGCCCTCTGCTGTGTGCCCAGACCTATTGCCTGCCAGTCTGCCTCCTGCTGTGTGCCCGGATCTGCCTGCCAGTCTGCCTTCCCTCTGCTGTGTGCCCGGATTACCCATTGCTGCCAATCAGTCCCTTTGCTGTGTGCCCGGACCTACTGCCTGCCAGTGTGCCCTCTGCTGTGTTCCCGGACCTACTGCCTGCCAGTGTGCCCTCTGCTGTGTTCCCGGACCTATTGCCTGCCAGTCTGCCTCCTGCTGAGTGCCCGCATCTACTGCCTGCCAGTGTGCCCTGAACTACTGCCTGCCAGTCTGCCTCCTGCTGTGTGCCCGGACCTACTGCCTGCCAGTCTGCCTCCTGCTGTGTGCCCGGACCTGCTGCCTGCCAGCCTTCCCCTCTGCTGTGTGCCCGGATGTACCCATTGCCTGCCTGAAACTGCCCCTCTGCTGTGTGCCCAGATTTACCCATTGCCTGCCTGAACTGTCCCTTTGCTGTGTGCCCCAGACTAAACTCTTGCTATACCAATCAAGTGCCCCAAATCACTCAATAAAAACCTTGTGTGCCCACTGCTCTCCAAGTGTTTTCTGACACACCCACACCTCCGGTGTCAGAGTGCCCATCACAGTCCCGCTATAAGTCGCTGATTGCCGCCATTAGTAGTAAAAAGGAAAAAGAAAAAAAAATTCCAGTATAAATACCGCCATTTTTAAACGCTATAACTTTCACGCTATAACTTTCCCTCAAAATTGTTTTTTTTTTATATTGCAAAAAATAAAAAACAGCACAGGCGATCAAATACCACCAAAAGAAAGCTCAATTCGTGGGAAAAAAAGGACGTAAAATTAATTTGGGTGCAGTGCTGCATGACCGCGCAATTGTCAGTTAAAGTAATGCAGCGCCGCAACGCAAAACATGGCCTGGTCAGGAAGGGGGGTAAAATTCTCTGGCAGACAAGTGGTTAATACTGTGATGGCACGTGCGGCATTGGGGGGACTGCTAGTTTACGAACATGTTACACCCTAAATATGAGTAAGATGTAGCCCGTTACTAAAGGTGAAGTTCTCCTTTAACTGTCCCTGGCCTGTCCCTTTTATTCATTGGATTTCAGTTCTTTCAAACCATGGAGGCTCAGGTCACATGGGGGGTGTTACCTAGGGTGGTCTGGTATTTTCAGGAAGCTATGTACTGCCCCTCTCACTAGCCATAGAGGGGGAGAGGGAGGGAGAGAGAAGGGGGGATAAAGAGAGGGAAGGGAGAGGGAGAGAGAAGAAGGGGGATAAGAGAGGGAAGGGAGAGAGAGGGAGACGAGAGAGGAGGGAGAGAGAAGGGGGGAAGAGAGAGAAGGGGGGAAGAGAGAGAAGGGGGAAGAGAGAGAAGGGGGGAAAGAGAGAGAAGGGGGGAAGAGAGAGAAGGGGGGAAGAGAGAGAAGGGGGGAAGAGAGAGAAGGGGGGAAGAGAGAGAAGGGGGGGAAGATGAGCGCGAGGGGAAGAGAGCGCGAGGGGGAGGGAGAGAGGGGGGAGAGAGAGAGAGGGGGGGGAGAGAGAGAGAGGGGGGGAGAGAGAGAGAGGGGGAGGAGAGAGAGAGAGGGGGGAGAGAGAGGGGGAGAGAGAGAGGGGGGAGAGAGAGAGAGAGGGGGGAGAGAGGGGGAGAGGGGGGGGGAGAGAGAGAGAGAGGGGGGGGGGGAGAGAGGGGGAGAGAGAAGGGGGGGGGGAAGGGAGAGAGAAGTGGGGGGGGGAAGGGAGAGAGAAGGGGGAAGGGAGAGAGAGAGGAGGGGAAGAGAGAGGGAGATAGGAGAGGGGAAGAGAGAGGGAGATAGAAGGGGGGAAGAGAGAGAGAAGGAGGGGGAGAAGGGGGGAAGAGAGAGAGACAGAGGGGGAAGCGAGCCCGGAGAGAAGGGGGGAAGAGAGAGAGAAGGGGGAGAGAGAGAAGGGGGGAAGAGAGAGAAGGGGGAAGAGAGCGCGCGAGGGGGAGAGAGCGCTTGAGGGGGAGAGAGAGCGCGAGGGGGAGAGAGCGCGAGGGGGAGAGAGAGAGAGGGGGGGGGAGAGAGAGAGGGGGGAGAGAGAGAGAGGCTGGGTGGGGGAGAGAGAGAGGAGGGGGAGAGTGAGAGAGAGAGGGGGGAGAGAAGAGAGAGAGGGGGAGAGAGAGAGAGGGGGGGGAGAGAGGAGAGAGAGGGGGGAGAGAGAGAGAGGGGGGAGAGAGAGAGGGGGGGAGAGAGAGAGAGGGGGGAGAGAGAGGAGGGGACCTACTGTGAGAGAGAGAGAGGGGGGGGCTGTGAGAGGGGGGAGAGAGAGGAGTGAGAGGGGAGAGAGAAGGGGGGGAGGGGAGAGAGAAGGGGGGGGGAAGGGAGAGAGGGGGGGGAGGGAGAGAGAAGGGGGGGGGGAAGGGAGAGAGAAGAAGGGAAGGGAGAGAGAAGGGGGGAAGGGAGAGAGAGGGGAAGAGAGAGGGAGATAGGAGAGGGGAGAGAGAGAGGGAGATAGAGGGAGGGGAAGAGAGAGAGAAGGAGGGGGAGAAGGGGGGAAGAGAGAGAGAAGGGGGAGAGAGAGAGAGAAGGGGGAGAGAGAGTGGGGGGAGAAGGGGGGAGAGGGGGGGGGGGAGAGGGAGAGAGGGAGAGAGGGGGAGAGAGGGGGAGAGGGGGAGAGGGGAGAGAGGGGGAGAGGGAGAGAGAGGGGGAGAGGGAGAGGAAGGAGAGAAAGGGGAGAGGAAGAGAGAAGGGGGGAGGGAGAGAAGGGGGGAGGGAGAAGGAGAGAGAAGGGGGGAGGGAGAGAGAAGGGGGGGAGAGAGAAGGGGGGGGTGAGGGAGAGAGTGTGTGTGTCTTTTTCTCAGGTGCTTTGTACAAAGATATAAAAACGATTTAAAATTCACCAAACCCGAATGAGTTGTTGAAACATCAAAATGAGTGTAACACGTAATCATGTTTAATTGCACGGAAGCTTACAGGAAAGTCGCTGCTTGCTTTTTCAGTATGAAAATAGCAAAATGGGACAAACAGTGGCTCGTTGGGAAGGGGGAGCTCCGGGCCGACACCAGGAGAGACCCTCCGAACAAGTACATAAATAAAGTAACACAATAGACCATTGTCTACATCCCATCTTAGGCCTTCACTGGTCCCTTCATCTGTGTCCGCTGGTACTCCTGCTGCAGTTTAGTGAGGGAGGCCCGCTGCTGTTCTGACTTCTGTTCCAAGTCCTTCAGTATGGTCTCATATCGTTTACTGAAAGAAAGAGTGAAAAATGAACGAGAGACCAGTATATGGGGTACAACACCACGGACCTTCTAAACTGCTATTTTTATCCCAGTTTCATCAGGAAGGTTGCTCTAAAATGCAGATGGACGGTAGAGGGAGAGGCTACGTATCTAAAAGTACGAAGTGGTATCTAAAAGGTTTTCAGTTTTTGTAACATACCAACAGATGGCAGCACCAGACTACACCCAGTCACTGGGAGCACCGAGCTTCATAAATCAGTGTGCCAAAAGACATTTTCCTGTGTACATCGAGATCTGTGCAACTGGTGCTATTCTGACCACGTGCATTACCACGTCTTCCATTTCTTCATGCACAGCAAGCTAGAATGAAGAGAAAACCTGAAATTCTGCATGAAACTGGGCAAATCTGCCAGAGACGTTTGACATTATTCAGCAAGTTTAAAAACGAGTCGTTCGAGGTGTTTTGAGTGGCACCTGCGCTTCAAGAGCAGAAGAACATCACTGGAAGACAATGAGAGATCAGGAAGACCTTCAACCAGCTCAACCCCTGAAAATACCATCTTCCCAAAGATGAAGATCCAGCTCAAAGGTTGCCCATTTGACAACATTGTGGAGATTCAGCGATTTGCTCAGTTTCACGCAGAATTTCACGTTTGCTCTTTATCGCATGTGGTCAGAATAGCACCAGTTGCTCAGCTCTCAATGTACACAGGACAATGTCTTTTGGCACACTGACTCATGAAGGTCACTGCTCCCTGCGACTGTGCGTGCAGCCCTGTGTTGCCATCTATTGGCGTTTTAAAAAACTAGTCTTGAAACCTTTTGATAGCAACTCATATATCTGAATTTAATAAGGGACAGCTATTGTGTGAAGGCGACATTCAAAATCATAGTCCTTGCAGCCTTAAACCAGATGCCAAAAGTGTAAGCTGTAGATGTACCTGTTAAGACCACCATGGTCTGGTCCACCAGGTCCATCATTAGCTGAACCGGAACACACTAAAGCTATAGATGTAATTGCAGCATCTGAAGCCGGATACCCTTACCCTGGCTTCTTTCATGAAGAGATCCACTGAGCTGAACAAGAATGTAGCCAGTGAAAACTCAAGACCTGCACACTTGTTCAGATCAGATGTGACCTGTGAATCAAGTGTGTGTCTACAGTATGTGTAAAATATATACTTTGTATATACAGTGGTACCTCGGTTTACCAATTTAATTCGTTCTGTGGGACATTTCGTTTTGATATTTGTAAACCGAATGCATTGCAAAACCAATTAATCCATTCTGAAGGTCAGAAAAAAAGTTAAAAAAAAAAAAGTCTCATCTGTACAAAACTCTTTATAAAGTGCACTTTAAAGGCATAAATACTGTACAGGGACATGATTAATCAAGCAATAACATTTCAAACATTCAATTTTTAAAACATGGCAAACTTTTCAAAACAATTTCAACACTTTTTGGAAGAGGAGGAGGAGGGCAACTGGGCAGCACTAACACAAGCAGGTTCTTCTTCTTGTTTAGGCTGTTTTAGTAGGAACCTTTCCTTTGTCTGCTGCCTCCGACGCCTTTTAAGCATCCCTTGGAAAGGGGACATGATGTCGGTGTCAAAACTATTCACAAGTCTTTTGGCTAGAGCCTTATCTGGGTGGTGCTTCTGTACAAAAGTCTTTAGGTTTATCCACATTTGGCATGCCTCCTTGAGTTCCGTGGAAGAGAGCTGTTCCTCACTCGTTTCCTCCTCCTCAAATGAGATCTGCTCCTCCATCGCCTCCTTCTGCAGTTCCACCAGGTCCTCGGTGGTTAGCTCATGGTAGTGTCCCTCCACCAGCTCGCAGACATCCTCCTCAGTCACCTCCAGCCCCATGGTCCTCCCCAAGGAAACAATCTCCTCCAACACTGTTGACTCTGGTGCAGGTGCAAAAGCATCGGAGTCAGGTGTCACAACACAGTCAGGCCACAGGTTGCGCCAAGCAGAATTTAGGATTCTCTGGCTGACCCCGGCCCAGGCAATGGTGATAATCTGCAGACAGCTCACAATGTCAAAACGGTCTCTCCAAAATTCATGGAGGGTGAGGCTTGATCGATCTGTCATCTCAAAGCATCGTCGGAAAAGCTCCCTTGTGTAGAGTTGTTTAAAATTGGAGATGACCTGCTGGTCCATTGGCTGGAGTAGTGGGGTGCTATTAGGCGGAAGGAACACGACCGTGATGAAGTTAAAGTCCTCCAGCAAGTCTTTCTCGAGGCCTGGAGGATGAGCTGGAGCATTGTCCATGAGCAGCACGGCCTTGAGTGGCAGGTTATTGTCCACAAGGTACTGCTTGACAGCAGGACCAAAAACCAGATTGACCCACTGCACAAACAAGAGGCGTGTGACCAAAGCCTTTGGGTTGGACCGCCACAAAACGCTCAAATGCTCCTTCTTCACCTTGTGTTTCTTGAAGGCCCGTGGATTCTCTGAGTGGTAGACGACGAGCAGGGGCTTGATCTTAAGGTCTCCACTGGCATTGGCGCAGAACAGGAGGGTGAGACGGTCCTTCATCGGCTTGGGGCCAGGCAATGGGGTCTCCTCTTCCGAGATGAAGGTACGCTTTGGCATCCTCTTCCAGAAGAGCCCAGTTTCATCGCAGTTGAAGACCTGCTGAGGAAGGTAGCCTTCTGAAACCATGACCTCCAGGAACTCAGTAGCAAATTCCTGAGCTGCATCAACATCGGAACTCGCCGCCTCTCCATGCCTGACCATGCTGTGGATGCCAGATCTGGCCTTGAACCTTTCGAACCACCCCCTGCTCGCCTTGAAGCCTTCTGCATCGGTTGACGTTCCTGGCTTTTGGTGGAGGAGGTCAGCGTGCAAGGCCTTGGCTTTTTCAAAGATTATCGCCTTGGTCACTGTGTCCCCTGCACGCTGCTTCTCTTCAATCCAAAGCAGGAGCAACTTTTCGACCTCCTCCAGAACAGGTGGCCGTTGCTTGGAGACCCTGGTGACTCCCTTGGCTGCATCTCTCCCAGTTATCTTCTCTTTCATCTTTAGGATGGTAGCGATTGTGGATGCATTCCTTCCATACTCTTTGGCGAGGTCAGTCAATCGCATTCCTCCTTCATGCTTTCTGATGATTTCTTTCTTGACCTCGAGCAGAATCATCTCCTTCTTTCTCTTCCCAGCTTCCGTTGCTTTCTTGGGTGCCATGACACCACAGTCACTAAGTGAGCAGAAAATAAAAAAAAATGCTTTACACCCGCACCCAGGTTCTCAATGCTCCAGTCCAAGAACCCCAAGTCTATCCACACAAGCTAATGAAAACCCCAAAAATCTGTCCACATGAGCTGGCATGGAAACCACCCCACAATGCAAAATACATAGTAACAGGCATGCAAAGCACATGAGCTGGCATAGAAACTAACCCACAGTAAAAGGCATAGAAACAACAAAGTTCAGCTGTCTACTTTTCCACGGACTCCAGCATGCACGGGTGGTACTATAAACCTCCCAGGCGCAATGCATCCTGGGGAAACTTGATTCGTATTGCGGGAAAAAAATTTGTAAACCGAGCCATTATTTTCAATGGATTTTCATTCGTAAACTGAAAATTACATTAACCAAGACAAAATATTTTTTGAGCTGCTCAAGTGTGAAATGTTTAAAGTGGACCTTTATTCAGAAAATTAAAGTGGTTGTAAACCCTTTCATATACCCAATGAAGTGACTGGTCTCAGATGATACACAGAGATGAAACAAATCCTCCTACATAAGTGGTACCTGTTTATCTGCAGCCATCTGTCCCCTACATCCATACAAAGTGCAGAATTTACACAGGATCTCTCAGCTCTGAAAAGCAGGGGGTGGGGAGCTGAGCTTACACACTGTAGAAGAGCTCTGAGAGCTGATTGGAGGGAAGGGACACGCCTCCCTTCACACAGCTTACAGGAACAGAAATGAGGTTGTCAATCAGCTGGAGGCTCCTCCCCTGTCACCATTTTTTCTCTTGGTATCAGGAAACCTTGTCAGACGCGATTCATGCTGATATCAGAGGATGGAGGCAGCAGACAGAGATGACGCTTAGTACTCTTAATTAAGGCAAATACACACTATAGAGGGATATGCTTTGTTCATATTTCATGTCCCAGGTTTACAACCACTGTAAGTCCTAATGGATTTCAGGTATACCTATATAAAACATTAAAAATAAGTGCCTAGACTGTCTAAAAACCAGTAATGCAAGGTGTCATCCTGCCCTGCACAGTGTCAGTTGTCCTGTATTCTTAGTACTGTGCTGATAATCAGTGAGCCACTAGAGGCCGATCTGCTGAAAGCCTAAATATTTACTGCTGCTGAGGGGGGAGGAAGCAACAGGAATAATACACTGTGCTGTGGGAACACAGATGAGGGAGGGGGAAAAGACTAAGGCTGGACATACATTATACAAGTTTCTTGAGAATTTTGCTTCAGATTGACCAAAAACCATATAATATGAGTCAAACATAAACAACACTTTCAACTGTATCCAATTAGGCAGGCCCTTGCACTACATAGATGAAGGTAAATCTAAAGGAAATTGGACAGAAAATTGTATAATATATGGCCTGCCTTACTCTGCTGCCAGGCACAAAAGAGTTAAACTTACAAGGCTAATGCCTTCATCTCATCTCCCTAATATTCTGTCCTTTCTCTCTTAGCATCTGCAGCTGGGATTCTGAGCACTATCAGCAACTGCAGCCTTCCTCTCTAGCTGAGCCAAGACATACAATTAAGGCTGGGAATGCAAACATTTTAATTACAGAAAGTGACATATAGTTTTTGAGATTAAGAAGAGTTCTCAATAAGGAATGACTGCTCTGGGCTTGCTTTAGCAAGAATAAACAGGAGCAATACTGGTGGCACTTTACAGCACACACTCATTTTGGAAGCACAAATATTAACCTCCCTGGCGGTATTCCCGAGTGTAGCTCAGGGTAAAATTTCAGTACCAAAAGCGGTAACCCCGAGCTACACTCGGGCTTACCATGCGG